CCTCATAAAACCTTCCTAGTGTTGAAATTAAAGTTGTGTGCCACCATGTTTGGTTTTATTTCTTGAGACAGGGCCTTGAAATGCTGGCCTCAAGCCGTGCCCAGAGTCACTAGGACTTCAGGCATGTATTACCAGGTCTTGTGGAAAAGAAATTTTGTGGTTTTGTTTGTTTGCAGACAGGTCTAGTTCTATAGTCCATGCTGTTCAGAAACTTACTGTGTAGGCCAGGGTGGCATAGAACTCATAGCAAGCTTCCTACCTCTGCCTCCCTGAGTACAAGGATGACAAACATGAAACATCATGCTTGACATAAAAATGAACATTCATTGAATAAATTTGTCCATATTTTGAGAGATAACATTGAGGACCTGAAAAGTCTAAGTAAATTACTCTCTAAGCTTAACTGAAGAACTCTGGAGAGTTGATAGCTTCTGGAGGAAGGAAGAGTCAGATTTCTGTATAGGTGTGGCTTTTGGTAGTCACCACAGTCCAGTGGATGGTCTCACATCCAGAACAGCCTATGCTGGACAGCATATGTTGGAGGCAAAGGGTTCAAATTAAAAAAAAATATGAAGTTGGAGGGGTTAGGAGGGGGTGGTAGTCAGGGATCAGGGAGGAATTATGGAAAGAAGTTGGGGGTGAATAAGACCAAAATACGCTAAATGAAATGTTTCTTTTTTCTTTCTTTCATATTTATTTATGTATATGAGTGCTCTATCTGCATGTATACATGCATGCCAGAAGAGGGCATCAGATCCCTCTATAGATGGTTATGAGCCATCATGTGGTTGGTGGGAATTGAATTTAGGACCTCTGGAAGAGCAGACAGTGCTCTTAACTGTTGAGCAATCTCTCCAGCCCCCTGTAAATCAAAAAATAAATATATTTCAGCCAGTCATGGTGACACAAGCCTGTGATTTCAGCACTAGGGGAGGCAGAAGCAGGCAGCTCTCTGAGTTTGAGGCCAGCCTGGTCTATAAATCGAGTCCAGGGCAGCCAAGGTTACACATGTAAAAACACAGTCTTAAAGGTCTGGTCTACTATTTAGGTCCAGACTGTGTCTCCCCTCTATGTAAACATCTATACTAAGTATTTATTTGGGGGTGGAAATATAGCTCAGTTTAGAGCATTTACCTAGAATGAGCAGGGCCCTCCAACAAATTAACATAAACAGCATAAATAAATAAACTTGAGAAATGTATCTGGCCTCTGAGTATTGTGATTATGAAGAGCATTTAAGAAAACTTGAGAGTGAACAGTCAGATTCCTCAGGGGTGGTGGGCTGTGAGATGCTGAGGACATCTGGCTAGACAAAGGCCATGCTAACTAAGGAGTCACACAGCTGGCCTGTTCCCAGATACCTCTGGCTGGCCTCCAGTTCCTCTGCCTTCCTTCCTGTTTCCTCTTGGCCCACAGCATTTAGCCACCTGCAAGCCAGTCTGTTTGAAGTCATTGCTCCAGTTCCTTAGCATGCTCCTCAGACTAGTTCATCCTTATATATAGGCAATCAATAAAAAAAACATGTGTGGTAGTGAGACCTTGTCTGCACAATCAAAATCAACAATAGCAACAATGAGAGCAGACAAAAAAAAAAAAAAAAAGCATCTGTTTCCAGCGGGACAGCTCAGCAGGTGAAGGCGCTTGTTGCTGATGACTTGAGTTTGATCTCTGGGACCCACATGACAAAAGAGCTACCCCCTTAAAGATGTCCTCTGACCACCGCTGGTGCTGTTGCATGCACGCACATACACACACACACACACACACACACAGAACAAATAAAAATGGAATAAAGGATGTAACTAAAGCCAAACCATTTCTTTACATGGTGCTGCAAATGTAATAACGAACATGCAGACATGTCCCTGTTCCCTTTCAGTGTCAGCATTTAATCCATAGTTGAGAATGACTCTAAAACTTGTTATGTAGCCCAGGCTATCTAGAAGTTAACCATCCTCCTGCCTCAGCTTCCTGTTGCGTCAAGGTTGTATTTCAACAGACCATCTGTCTTCTTTGCTCTAAGCTCCTGCTGGTCACAGCCCTTCAGAAGCTAAATCTTGTTGCACTTAGGAGTGAAGAGGTAAAAGCAACAGAAGGGAAAAAGAGTAGGGATTTTGCCCTATTTGACAATAAGGTATAAAAAAATACAATAGTTCACATTCATTGATGTGCCAGATACTTTTATGTGTTCTTTTAACCAGAAACCCCTCTTCCACTCTCACTCCCCACCCCAACCCAGTCACATGCCCTAGCAGAGAAAATTCAGCTTTGAAAAGGTGAAGTTGTAATACACTCAGATGGAATTCTGGCCAAGACCATCTAGTTTTGCCCTAAACAGCCACTTGCTATAGAGTATATTTCTTCCAATTGCAATATTCCCTCCAAATTGAAACATTTGCTTCAGGAGGGAAAAGGAAGCTCAGGATAAGGTCACATGACCAAAGAGGAAAAAGAAAAAAAACAAAAACGGAAGCACCCCCTCTCCCTGCTGGCCCCAACTCAAACCAAACCAAAAAAAAAAAACCCAACAAAAAACAAACCTTGAAAGATTCTTGAAGGTGCCTACTAGTAGTATAAATGGGGTTAAGACTCTGTTTAGGGGATGGGCCCAGTCGCACAGTCTGTAATACTAACACTCAGGGAGGCAGACACAGAGGCAGGTGGATTTCTGTGAGTTCAAGGCCAGCCTGGTCTACAAAGTGAGTCCAAGACAACGAAGGATACACAAAGAAACCCTGTCTTGAAAAAAAAAAATCAACAAACAAACAAACAAAAAATAATGGGGACTGGAGAGATGGCTCAGAGGTTAAGAGCACTGGCTGTTCCAAAGGTCCTGAGTTGAATTCCCAGCAACTACACTGTGGCTCATAACCATCTATAATGAGATCTGATGCCCTCTTCTGGTGTGCAGGCACATGTGCAGGCAAAAATACTGTATAAATAATAAGAAATCTTTAAAAAATAAAAAAGACAGATTAGGGAAACCACTGAAAAAGAAAGAGATTCTGTCAAGCTAGAAAGAGAGCTCCAGGGATGCAGTTTTCCAAGCTGGCACCCATGTTGGGGTGGGCTTTCTGGTGAACAGCTCCTTTTGTCAGTTATCCCTGTTCCTTGTGAGCAGCCACTCATCCACACTTGTTGGTAGCCCCAACACAAAACTCATTGGTTCATCAAATTGGACATTGGTGCGGTCCTTACTGTGGTTTGTTACAGGCTCTCTTCCTGGAGTGAGGATTATGTTATGTCTCTGTGTCTCCCCAGGAAAATTCTGTCATACAACACCACTGCTATTGCTCCACACAGGGTCAGAGGCATGGACTTTGAGCAGGACCAGTCTATAGCCTGTTCCAGATCGCACCCTGACTTTAGGCAAGTTTGAGATGGCAAACTGGTCAAGACTGTGGTAGGGCCTCAAGCTCTTAGCAATCTTCTTGCTTCAGCTTGAGTTGGGCTCCTTGAACTGTCTAAAGATACAGGCTTTGTACTGAGGTGCTGTGTACCATGAACCTTAAGTATAGTGCTATGAGTTATTAAAGGAATTGCTGAAAGTATGTATCAGTATCAATTGCCAGAGTCCTGTGATCTGTAGCTGATGGTCTCTCAAACTTACTAACATTTTTTCTTTTTGGCTAACACCTGTTTTGAACTGAGGGATAAAGACATAAGCTCAGTGGTTGAGCACTGGCCTACATGCTGAAGTCCTGGATTCCTAGTACAAATAAATACATGTGAACATCGAGGAAAGCTCAGCAATCTTTTTCTCGGTGGGGTGGGGAGAGTCCACTTGAAGGCTGGGTGTGGTGACACGTTTTAAATTCCAACATTCAGAAGGCAGAGGCAGGTGATCTCTGTGAGTTCAAGTCCAGTCTTAGTCTACATACAAAGTTCCAAGACAGCCAGGGCTACAAAATTTTCGAAAGGAAATCCACATTGATCACACACACACACAAGTTGTTGATGGTTCTCATACAGCCAGGCCGGCCTAGAATTTGCTCTGTAGCAGACCTTATGGAAACCTTCAACTTCTCATCTTTGTGCTTGGATGACAAGGGCACCATGACACAGCTTTTGACAGAGAAAATGTTGCCAATAATAAAAAGAGGTTCTATGAACCGCTGAAACCCATTTAGACATGCTAGACAATAGATGTGCCTTCATGGTGAAGGCCTGTAACCCCAGGTACTCTGGAAGTTGTGCAATAAGAACAGCAAATCAAAGTCTGCCTAAGCTACAGAATGAATTCAAGAACAGTGTGGATAACTTAGAGAAATTCTGTCTCAAAGTGAAAAAAAAAAAAAAAAATCCAAAATGGCGGGGAATACAGCTGAATGGTAGAAGGCTTCTTTTAGGATGCAGGTTCAATCCCAGGTACCCATTCCAAGGCTGGGATTTTTTTTTTTTTTTTTTGCATTGAGCTACATCCCTATCCCCTATGCATTCATTCTACGTTGTTTACAAGAAAAGATAATCTAAGGTAAAATGCTCTGTTCTGAATTTTTCGGGAGGGTGTTACTGACATTATGAATAGTGAACAGTTCTTGACTAGACATAGCTGAATCATCCAACAAATATTTAACTGCTGCCTGATACATACAAAGCACTGTGCCATGGGTTAAACTCACTGAGATAAAACACATTTCTTTGATGACAACAAGCTCGCGTAAAAAACGCAAACGTGGTTTCTAATGGCCTAAAAAAAGTCTTTCCAGTTTGAGAGGCAAGGTTTGCGAGCTAACAACCTGGTTTTTGGTCTTTTCACGCTCTGTACTCGAATTTGATAAATCAATCTAATCTATTTCATCTATTAAACTGAGATTAATAATAGATGAGAACTGCTTGTTGCACGTCTTCAAAAAGATAAGCTTTGTAAAAATGAACTTAAAGGCATGGTGGTGCACGCCTGTAACTCCTAGTAACAGGGAAACAAAGGATTCGGAGTTTGAGGCCTGCCTTACCTACACGAGCCACACACAACAAAATAAAACATGAAGATCACGGGAATGGTAGCTGGCATGCTCACTCGAGCTTCGGGCTCTTTAAGTCCCCGAAGCCGATCCTCGCACACACGCGGCCAGCCACCGCTCAGTCAGTCTTCCCCGGAAGACGCTGAGTCCGTTTCCGCCGGCAGATCTTCGCGGTGGGTGTGACCACCAGCCGTCCGACCCACACACTGTGGGCGGTCCTCCGTCAGGCGCCTGCGCCGGAGGCGGCCGGAGACCGGAAGTCCGGGGGCGTGGCGAACCGCCCCGACAGCCGGCTCTCGCGCTGAGGCTGGGGGCGCGCGCAAGTGCGCGCTCGTCCCCGCGGCCGGCTGCGTACAGTAGTGACGGCCGCGCGGGAGCGGTCACATGACCACAGCGGCTGCCTGTACAGTAAGAACCCAATATGGCAGCGGCGGCAGCAGTGGCAACGGCAGCAGGACCGGCCGCCCTGTAGACCCCCCCGCGCTGCGCGCCTCCGCGGCCGCCTCCTCGCCGAGTCGCTGCTCCGGCCCGACTTCTCCTTTCTCCCCACCTTCCCCGGCACCGCGGGAAAAGCAGTGCAGGGCGCAGCAGGCAAGGGAACGCAGCCGGAGCCGGGGCACGGAAGCCTCCCCGTCAGTTCAAGACCCGACATGAGGGAAAAGGGCCGGAGGAAGAAGGGCAGGACCTGGGCGGAGGCCGCCAAGACGGTGAGGAGGAGGGAGCAGAGGGGAAGGCCGGCGGGAGTTGGTTTTCTCGCCGGCTGCCCGGCGCGGGGAAAGGGAGGTCACTCGGCCCCGCGGCCGGGTTGAGGGGCACGAAAGCGCGCGCGGAGGGCGGCGGTTAGGGTCGCGCCGGCGAGCCCCGAGGAGCGCGAGGCGTCGGCGCGGGGGGTCCGCCGCGCGGCCGCCGCGTCTCGCGGGGGGCTGCGGCCGGACCCCTCGGCGTTGTGCGGCCGCCCGTCGGGCTGCTGTCGCGGTCGCCCCCACGCTGCCCGCCCTCGTCTCGGCGGCAGCGCGTGTTGTGGCTGCCCAGTAACCGGTTCTTCTCCCCTGTGCGCCGCGGAGAGCCCCGATTGGATGCAGACAGGAGGAGGCTCGGGTGTGCGGCCAGCCCCGGAAAGGCGAGGGGAGCGCTGGAGCTCCGTGGCGTTCTCCCGCCGAGGCAGACGTGCCGCCAGACTCGGGGGCCCCCCTTGGCTTAGCTGGCTCTGGGAGCCAGCGTGAGGTCACGAGGCTTTTGTGTTTGCCGTCGGAGCTGAAAGTGCAGGAGGTGTTTAGAAACGAAGTAACAGGTGGGACTTGGAGAATTTTTTTTTTTTTTCTGTTTCCGTAGAGACCTACTCTGAATAAGGCAGCAATGCATGGTGGGACGTGTAGTTTACCCGGCTTTCAATGTTTTTTTGTTTTTTTTTAAGCCAGAGTGAAGGTGGACCGACGAAATTATGACAAGTGCCCCCCCCCCTTTGTTTTGGTATACGAATTTAGAAGTCATTTAAGAATGAGTAACCTTGTTTTGAAAAGTTTTAAAACGCATTACTTATGAAGAAACGGAACCTTAAGGAGAAATTGAAGTTCCATTGTTGAATGAATAACAAAAATAACGTTAAGCAGTAGTAGCATTTCAACCTCTGTAATAGTGGACAACGTAGTGTTTCCTAATAAGTGAACCCTTATAGGTTTTAAAATTTATTTTCTTCTTAAGGGATGACTGTGTGTATGTGTTCGTATGTTTGTATGTTTGTATGTATGTATTAGGGGTGGGCTGTGTATGTGGACATGGAGCACACCTAAGGGGTGATAGGAAACTTGTAGGAGTTGGTGTAGGTTCTAAGGATTGAACTCAGATTATCATCAGGCTTGATAGTCAGCACTTTTACCCACCTGAGTAATCTTGCTGGTCCTGGATTGTTTATTAATTTATTTTCTGGTTTTCTGAGATCAGGTTTCTCTTTGTAGCCTTGACTGTCCTCGAACTCACTGTGTAGACCAGGCTGGCTTTGAACTCAGAGATCCCTCTGCCTCTGCCTCCCAAGCCCTGGGATTAAAGATGCGCACCACCACTACCAGGTTCTGATTTATTTTTTTAAATGAAATTAAAAAAAAAAATCAAAAGTAATGTTCTTCATGGGGAAATTTAGAAAGTATGTAGAAAATAACCCCATCAATTCACACGTCTATTGTCTAGTCTTGTTGCTCCAAATCTGAATTATATTGTTTATTCATTCTGTATTTTGTTTTTATAAGTCATGTACATTTGTTTGTTGAACGTTTTCCCCATATCCATTTATTTATTTTGAGGATAGCATCTCACCTAAATGAGTGCCTAAAATTTGTAGCAACCCTCCTGCCTTTGCCCTTTGAGTGCTGGGAAGCACCACTGTTTCCAGTTGTATGGGATAGAACTGAGGGCAGCGTGAGTTCTAGGCAGATGCTTTACCACTTGAGTCAAACCTACAGTCCACTTAGAGTCTGTCTTTGTGACTAGACTGATAGTTTCCTCTAAAAGACAACTCTAGAAATAATTCTTTTGGTGGTGGTGAGTTTTTCTTCTGCAGAAGTTTACTTTCTACCCAGTACTGCTTCCTGTTAATAAAAGAGAAGATGTCATTTTAGTTAAGTATACAAACCCCCAAATTATGTGAATTAATTTTAAGTGTCTGTGATGTATTTATTTACTTATTTCTTAGGCTTTATATCTTTGAGACCAGGTTTCACTTTATAGTCCAGGCAGGCCTTAACATTCAAAGTGGTAAGATTACAGGCATCTCAACAGTCTCTATACCTTTGTTTTTTGAGATGGACTCTTTGAGCCTGTTGTATAGTCCAGGCTGGCCTTAAACCAGAGAGCTGGGATCATAGACATATACTACCATGCCTGATTCAGTCTCTGCAGTACCGTGTGAATTAGGATCTTTCTAGGTTGAGTAGTTCAGTGATTAGGAGATTGTGATATATAGGAAGAATAATTTTGCACCTGTTTGGTTTCTTGCAATAATAAATTAGAACATTTGCTCATTTTGTGTTCCAGCTATTTATGTGAAAAATAATTACAAGAAAGTAGGTTGGGGAGATGGCTCAGTGGTTAAGAGTACTTACACACAAAGGCATCTTTACACAGCTATTTCACCAAAGCCTTTTTCCCTCATTAAAAAAAAAAAAATTGTTTTCTGTTTCATTTTGTAAGAAGGTATGTCTATGTGTCTATCTGGATGTGTATTTGGAGCTAGAGGATGACATCGGGTGCTTTTTCAGTTGCTCTCCATTTTAGTTACTGAGGCAAGGTCTCGGAAACTTGCCAGATGGTCTGCACATGTAGCTGGCCAGCTCGCCCTCGTCTCCGCTTTCCAAGCGCTGGTGCTATGAGATGGGGCCTCCATGTACACCTGGGCGTAGCATTTTAAAAGGCTGTGTTATGTGTGTGGGTATTCTGTCAGCATGTGTGTCTTTGTACCACCTACATACCCGAGGTCAGAAGAGGGCATCTGGTCCCCTGGAATTGCAGGTAAACATGCTTGTGAGCTGAGCTGTGTTCTTCTGGAAGAGTGCTAATCTTTGTAACCCCCACACCCTGAATTTTTTCCGTCTTCTGAGAACTGAACTTTGGGCGTTAGAGCTTGTTCTGTAAGTACTTTATCAACACTGAACCATCTTCCCACTTTTCTGTCCTGTCTTTATATTTCTGTCCTGAAAGCCCACATACTTCCTTCCTTGTTGAAAGCAAAAGAGAAAATAAAATAGGGGAGGCAGAGGCAGGCATATCTCTGAGGTCAAGGCCAGCCTGGTCTACACAGTGAATTTCAGGATGGCCCTGGCTACGCAGAGAAACCTTGGGTGGGGGTATCAATTTTGGATATTTAAGTTAGAAATTTCTAGAGAGCTGTGCTGGGGCAGGGTTCTAAGCCAATGTCTTGTGGGCAGAGTCAGGAATATCTTGATACCAAGACCAGTTTGCACTAGGAGCCAGGCCCTCTTTCAAAAAAAAAAAAAAAAAGTTAAGAAAATACTGTATGCTATAAAAGGACCTACTGCTGTTATCTCTTGGATTATGAAAAATTGAGAAAATAATCTCAAATTTGTTTCTCTTGCAGAGGACCCAGGTTCAGTTCCTACCACCCGAGAGGTGGCTTACACAACCATTTCAGTTCCAGGGGATTTGATGTCCTCTGCTGACCTTGGGTACTGGCCACACAGGAGATAAACATGCACGCATACATGCAAGCAAAACCCTCCTACATATAAAATACAATAAAATAATTTTTAAAAATTCTACTTAAGATAGTTATGATTGACATTTTGCTAAATAAACAAGCAGGTGGAGGTATATTACATAAAGTTCTATAATTTGCTTTCTTTATGAATATCATGGATGTCTTTTCATGTCAATAAATAAATCGGTGCCTCTTCCCCTGTTTTGAGACAGTGTTTCATGGTGGCAAGGCTAGGGAAGACTGTAAGTGCTAGAAGCCAGTGCGCAGGCGCAAAGAAACAAATGGGGACAGGTGTCTGTGCCCTCTCTCTAAAGACTTCCTTTTTTGTTGTTTTGTTTTTCTTTTGAGACAGGCTTTCTCTGAGTAGCTCTGGCTGTCCTGAAACTTGCCTTGTAGACCAAGCTGGCCTCCTCAGAGATCCACTTTCCGCTGCCTCTTTGGTGCTGGGATTAAAGGCATGTGGGCCACCGAAGACTGCCTAGCACATATTCTTACAACCAGGTCCTACTTCTTTAATATTTCTGCTACCTTACAATAAAGCTATCAGACTGCAGATCCGTCAATGACTTCATCCTTTAAGTCTTAGCTCCATGATCCATTCACTTTCCTGAATCCCCCTGTCTCATTAGGAACAAATCTTTCGACACTTGAACCTTTCAGGGAGATACTTATGTCAGAATATGATGCTATCTGTGTTGTTATGTGTTGAAAATATACACCACATGGCCATTGAGCACCAGAAATGGCTAGTGTGATTAAGATATGCAATTTATTTAATCTTAATTACTTGTAAAGAGCGGTATATGGCTAGTGGCTATTATTGGACAATACAGCTCTTCCTCCTCACCTCTAAAGTTTTTCAAGACAGGGTTTCTCTGTGTAACAGAGCCCTGGTTGTCCTGGACTCAGTTTATAGACCAGGCTGGCCTCAAACTCACAAAGATTAACCTGCCTCTGCCTTCCAATTGCTGGCATTAAAGGCTTGCACCACCACCCCTGGCTCTTGTGGACAATATAGAGCTAAAGTAATTTCCCAGGTGTATTGACTATTGCTGTTGGGGATTGGATGAGGACCTTATGTTTGCTAAGCAAGTGCTACATCCATGTGCATTTATAACGTCCTGTCCCCAACGTCCCCCCCCCCATTTTAATTTTTGAGACAGTCTCACTAAGTTGCCCACGCTTGACTTGAACTTACTGTGTAGCCAGGCTGGCTGTCCATCAGTGTACTGAGTAGCTGGGGTTGCAGATGTACACCAACATTCCTGGCTACTTGTATTTTTTGCTAGTAAACTTGGCTATTCAGATCCTATCCTTTGTCTTTTTTTATTTTTCTACCTTATTTCCTGGTCTTTTAATTTTTAAGTTTTATTTATATGTATGTGTCTGTCTCTCTGTGTGTATGCAACAGATTGATACTCAATTGATACTCAATTTCAAGTGAGTGTGCAGGTACCTGCAGAGTCTAGAAGAGGGTGCTGGATACCCTGGAGCTGGAAT